TAATGGGCAGTAATGGCACAAATATGGAGGACAAATATATATATTTTTAATGAGCAGAATGGAATAGAATAGAATAGAAAACAGACAGGGCCGCTCCCCCTGTACGCACGAGGCCCCACGTTGAAGAAGGGGCCCCAATAAGCAAATTGCATGATTGATGTCCATCAACATCTACTGGGGCATCTTAATCATAACAGCCGGAGCTGTTAACAGAGAGAGTGGATAGAAATGGGTGTTGTAAAAATATATGTCCAATCAACGGACAACCAATTGTGCATAATAATAATAAATAAATATTAATAAAAGACCGTAATAGTACTAGTTGCAGTAATTTGCAATTTTTATTACTAGTAGCTTTTCATCTTGTTTATATGCTGTTTTTGAGGATAGTGTTTCTCATTAATTTTATTTGGTGGAGTAGCATTAAGAAATTAATAACCATGACACTTGTGATGGATTTCCACAGGGGGAAGGTTTGGTTTTGGTGGATGGGGGGGAGGGGTGGGAGGTCCCACTTGAAAATCTTGCTTAGGGACCCTGTTCTCCTAAGGGCGGCCATGCTAACAGCGGCCATGCTAACAGGTCAGATCAGCTGCTGAAAAAAGGGCTGGTCAAAGTCCTTGATTTACACATTTGTTTCGTACTTTGTTTCAGGTGAAGTACTGCTCAGGAGAAATGTGACGATAATTGCGTGGAAAGCCAGGTCACAGAGTATAGACTGGGGGAAAAAAAAAAACCCCTCCAGACTTTGCAGCACGTCACTGGAGCCAATTTATTTTTGACAAACACACTCACACCGCTGCTGCTCTGTAGGTATTAAAACTTGCTAAAGCCCAAGTGTCACATGTGCGAGTTATAACTTCACCTGGTGTTTATCTCCAGACCCCTAAAATGACTTCTAAGGGTGTTTACAACACCGCAGCCTTTGTGCTGTGCACGTGATTATTTGCTGCACCAGCAGCTCGGGTCTCGGCCCGTCTGAACGATTAGCCATGTATTACGTTTATGGCCCACAAAGGAGACGGAGGAAATCATTTATTCAACGCGCACTCCCAGTCCAACGCAGCGGCCTCCATTACAGTGGCGGCACCACAGGCTGCGGAGTGGATTACCCTTCAGCGATAGCCTGCAGGGATGTTACCTCGGTACAGATAGGTTGTTTAGATATGAAAAGCTAATGCACTCCACAAACAGGCATCTGAATGGAAGCAGTAATATTTTTATTCTCCTCACAGCAGGAAGTGTCATAACACTGGAGATAATTGTGAGTGTAAACCCGCTGGACTTAAGATCCTTTTTTTTTTCCTAACCTAAGAAAACCACCTCAACAGAAGCCAGTGTGTCAGAGTCTATTGTCAGACCTGCTGCCACAGGGATGTGAGCACGCGTGCACACACACATATATATATAAACACAAACAAACAGAACACACAAAAAGTGACTCCACAAACTTACATTGTTACTGACTTTTCTCCTGGAGCAGCCGACACATAACTGCAAACAAAGCACCGTGTTGTCAGGAGTGTGTGTGTGTCCGTGTGTGTGTGTGTATGTCACTCACGGTCATTACCACTGCGTTAAAAAGGTCGTACACTGCAGTATGCATAATTACTGCAGTGCTTATATGAGACACATACGCTGTCCATAGAGTAGCGGTTAGCACGCCTGCCTCGTAAGCAGAGAGCATAGAGTAGCGGTTAGCACGCCTGCCTCATAAGCAGAGAGTTCTGGGTTTGATTCCCAGAGGAACTACATGCTTGGCGCCTGCTGGGGGCAGTATATCTGCAGCTAACACATGAATTTCCCAAATATGGGATCAATATAGTTACAAATTTAATTTGTAAATACAAGGTAAATATAACTTTAAGTGTGGCTAGACAAAATGTTAACCAATAAACAAGAAAGGTATAACTTTAAGTGTGGCTAGACAAAATATTAGCTCAATGTTAACCAATAAACAAGAAAGTTCTGATATAAAGACATTTTTTAAAATTATAAACATAAAAAAGTCACATAAAAAAAGTCAGGTCTTAGTACCAAAATGAGAGAGACTGCGACTTTGATCACGCTGTGGTTGTACAGTTGCAACATATCTGTAACTGAACCTTTACTGACATGCTCAGTTTGAGAGCCTTAAAAATAGCCTGCGACTTATATTCCAGTGCACTTATATTCTGAATTTTACGGTAAACGTTTCAATTAGGGTCAGAATTGAAATTCAAGCTTCAATCTCGGGTTCATTTACTGAACTTGTACGTGCGTGAACCTCGCCCCACGTCACTGCTCACCTCAATCCGACACACGGAGCGTCTGGATTGAAAGGCCTTCATCGCATGACTGCGGGAGGAGGAAATGAAGAGTAAACAAATCAAGACCAATAATTGTTCTGCAGGTGGAGGAGTACAAACAAGCACACCAGGGCAGCGGAATCACCCCCCCCACCCCCTCGCCCCCACACCTCCCACTGGTGATCAATAATGAAGACATCATTAAGGAGGAGACTGATTGAAATGCAGCAGAACATGCAGCCTGACACCAGGCCCTCAGACAGCTTGTCCTTGTTTAGCCTTTCTGACGGAGAACGCAATAAAGGAATACAAGGAACGGAAGGTTTACATCCACAGCTGCGGCGACGGGCGGCAGGCACCATATGGTCCGTATTATAAGATCAGGAGATTTGATTTTGTCTTATTAGATTATCATGTTGTTCCACATTTGCTTTGTGATTAATGATTAAGACGCCGTGCCTTCGTTTTTTAATATCGCCCGGGCTTTGATATATATTTTAACATTATTAACATGATGTTAACAACACAGGGTTTGTGCGGCCGATTAATATTCCAAGCTCTGGGACTTTGTTTTAAAGACGGCATTGATCTTCACACAGGCTTGGCGAAACGCAGCATTGATCTCACGTGTTGAGAAAAAAAAAAAAAAAATGACAATATCAATACGTGTTTAACCCATAAATGCTCACGAGCAAATCTAATTCAACGTACAGCGGGAGCATCGATTGAAGACGCTGCTGGATGATGAGCCTCATGGAACACTGTTCCAGCCCCGTTGGTCTACCCTCCCCTCAGACGCTGACCCCCAGCCACAGCGGGTATCTTGTCATATGATTTCTACAGAAAATGCTATTACAGTCGCCTCTCCAGGGAGCAGAGAGAGAGAGGAATAAAAAAAAAAACTCAGCAGACATCGCCTCCTTCATCACACACAGAGATGAGGACACCTGAGTGGGGACAAAAGTTCAGCCCACAGGTTAAAAGGCCACTCTGATGAAATCATGCCTATCATTTATATACAGTTGAAGAAGTTCAGGAAGAGATCCTCTGACCCCCCCCCCCCGCTCCTCATACGTGTGTTTGTGGATCGAAGGAGGAGGTTAGCTGTTAGATTTCATGCCATAATTGAGGCTCGGGGAGTGGAACACAGCTTCAGCTGATGGGTCCTCGCCACCAAAGACTGGACACACACTCACCCCCCCAACCCCCCCCACACACACAGCTGCCCAGTTAAAAAGGCTGCCTCGCCTTAATGTCACCAAAGTGACATTACACACTGGGGTTGAACTTCTGACCTTCATCGTGACACATTACTCTGCTGCTTCTGGTGGCCTTATTAGCTCCCTTGAGTTACAACACCAAGCCACACACACACACACACACCCCAACACACACACACACACAGTATGTCACAGTGTCATCGACTGGGATGCGGCCATCTTGTTAGAAGGTTACAATACATTAAACAGAACCTTTAGACAGGAGCTCATTTTTCTCCCGCTGCATCCATTCCTCTCCCATCCCTCCCTCACCCCTCTCACTCCACATATATCTATCTCTCTCCCTCCCTCTCCCTCTCTCGCTCTCTCAGCCGTACACAGGCACAGGTATCTCAGGTTGCAAATGAATTAAAATCAGAAGGACGGGAGGGGAATGAAGTCAACGCGGCATTTTACAAGCAAATGATCTGACACCAATAAAACACAGCTTCACTGGAAGAAAATCCACGCTTAAAATACGAAGAAGGATATGAGCTGTGACCTGCGGGGGGTCGGCGGGGGCCATCCCATCAACACCATCCCATCTACATTCACACACACTTACAGTCGTACTCACAGCAAATAGAAAATATGACTCGTCTGATTTTCAGTCGTCATCAGCCAGGAATCCTATCACCGTGGAAACCCATCTGCCTGATGACCTGGAAAATAAAACACTGAATTACACGTTATTAAAAAAATGGCAACAAACAAGCACTTGAAAGATGAAAACATTCCTTTTTGTGAATTCTTAATTATATTTTTTAATAAGGCTTCATCAGTAACTAAAGAGGCGATAAGTGTTTTGAACATTGACTATACTTTCGGGCAATTTGTGATCTTGACTTGATGCCGTTTGGTGATTTCATCTGAGTAAACTGGAACCTCGATGATCATTTTCACACTAACTCAGGGCTGGTGCTCTGATCCAGCAGAAAAAAAAAATATTATATCTAAAAAGTGAAAATAAGATGATACTAAAAATGTGTGCACATCTTAACATCTTCCCTAAAGGCACTTTAACAGCAAAAAGACCTGGGTTTAAATGTGAGCATGTATCATTTAAAACAGCGTTATTCAAGCTTGGGGTCACTGCCCCATGTGGGGTCACCTGAAGTTCAAAAGAAGGTCGCTTAAAATGTCTAGTATTTGATAAAAAATGACTGATAAAAATATTTTTTTTAATCAATTATTTCTTCTTTCACTTCCATGAATTTAAAAGGAATTCAAGTTAAATGTAGGATATAAATATTGTATATATTTGAGTGATCACATGACTACACAAGTGATAGCTACTAAAATGACCTTGGGGTGACCAGAAATTTGTGATGTCAAAATGGGGTCACAGACACTGGTAACGTCACAATTTACCCTGTATTTTCAAACCTGTCCCAAAAGATGGAAGTACACATTCCAGACTTTGAGTTAAGAGCATTTGCATAAAATTGAAATTACCCCACTTTTTACATACTGTAGTCCCACTTCTGCTAAAGAAACAATAATGGGCTGAACATAACAGTAAAGCAGTCACGTCTTCTACAGCGGCCGTTATTCATTCACCTCAGCAGAAGCTGCTGAAGTATCTTCATTCTGGTTCATTTTAAAAACTGTGCTCGCCTGGATGTTTTTTTTTTTTTTACAAATTATCATGATTCAGCCCTGACATGCGGGAGGCAAGGTGAAAAAGTCTCATTTAAAGACAAACAAAACATCACACGACACATACAAAGACTCTCGAGGTGTTGATTGTGTATTTGATCCAATCGTGGCTGGTTTGACTAGTGATGTCTGAGCAGGGGTTCAGTTCATGAACACAGAGAGTTTTTAACAACAGCGTCACAGAGTGCACCGCCGGTTTGTTATTTCTGCAAAACACAGTTAATTTATTCTCATTGTTAGCATGACACAAGCTGGTGGGTCTTAGTCACACTGTTCACTCACACCTTGTTCTTCGAAAAACACTTCTGCACAGAAAATGCTTCAGTTTGATGTGAACAAGCTGCTCATGTTTGGATGATATCCAGCTACAAACATGAAAACAAAGGACTCCAAAGACAACGCTGGTTCTGACCGTGCCCGTGGTCAGGTGGTACAGTCCTAAACGGCGTCATCTTTCTTTAATGTTCGCATTTTATGAGGCAGCAGCGAGAGTCGCAGCAGCCCAAAGGCGCCACATTTCTGACGATAAGATGTTGAGTTGGGTAATGTGGGGTTAATCACAGGTGGATATTAGTTCTCTAGTGGGCTATGAGAAGGTGCTAAAGGTGTTACTGAGCCCGTGGGGGGAGGAGGGGGGGGGGGGGAGGAGTAAGAGACAGAGGAACATTCACATTTCAGTCCGTCTGTTTGAGTCAGGCTGACCTTGTTATCTGAGCACAAACTCCACATCAGTGGAGGACAAGGACGCGATGTTCCTGCCCCAGATGAACAGGAGGAAATTAAACTGTACACTATATATACTATATATACTATATATACTATATATATACTATATATATATATATATACAAATATATCTAATATATATATATATATATATATATATATATATATTAGATATATTTGTTTACATATATACACAAACATATATACATGATATATAAATGAATATGAATAAATATATATGGTAAATATATATCCATTAAAATACATACATGAATATACATGGGGAAGAAATATAGTGAAACACTGAAGATTTGCTGAGGCAGCAGCTCCACTGCAATACAATATTTCTGGTCCATGATCAAAAAATAACTGTTCAGCACTTGTCTGCGTGCAGTGATGTAAGGCAACCTGATATAGTCCCACAGCACTGTACTGCACAGGGCCCTGTAGACACATAACAAATCACACACACACATACACACACACACACACACACGCTGCTCCTTTGTATCCATAAATATAACTTAGCGCTCTTTAATTTTGTGTATACACAAAAATGTATTTTACGTTCACGTGCACCGGTTCACAAGTGTAATCTCTTAATGGAACTCGCAGTATATTAAAAATAGGTGATAGCTTCACATGCAGATCCTGCACAAGGTGAACTGAGTTTTTTTTTTAATGTGTCATATTATTATCAATTTCTACTTACACTGCAAATTTCAGTGGCATACTTTTATCAACTCATGTCTAAAATTAAATTCTTTCACAGCGATCACGCTGAAAATACCACAGGGAGGATGCGGTATCGAGTATCTGACTGATCTCTTACAACCACGATTTAAAAAAAGAAAAAGAAAAAAAATCCTGATAAGAACGACTTCACCATGACAGAATGGGGCATTTAAAAAAAGATAATAAAGTGTCCCTTTATGCAGATGATGTTAACCTCTGATACTGTTGAAAGATATAACTATGTATAAATGCTTTCTCTCTCTCTCTCTCTCTCTCTCTCTCTCTCTCTGTATATATATATATATAGTAACTAGTATGTCTCTATTTATTTGAAACTGTACAGCTCTGGGGAGCTCTGTACCATATAGTACTGACCGGTGGTATTGTCACACTGATGATTGACATGTCAGTAAATGTATATATATACACACATTACTACAGGCATTTTTTTAGCCTTTCACCCAAAAACTATTCTTCAGGAAACTGCTTCAACAGTTAGACCAGACCACTGCTGTTATGTTAATAGCACCCCCTGCTGGTAAGGGAGAAGACTTTTGTGTTTGTGACAGTGAAAGTCGGGCAAATACATTTCACCAATCCTCACTTGACCACATACAGAGATAAACAAACCTTCACTGTCATAATCATCACTAATGTCAATTTACTGTTCTGAACTCCTGGGGGATCAAACTGGTGACCCTCTTGCTGTAAGGCCAGAGCACTAATCACTCTTCCACCGAGTAACCTACTTGGAAAAAATTATCTTTCTTTATGTTGTCACATTTGATTGGTCCTTACTTATTGTCAGTTAATGCTCAGGGCAGCAAGAGTGTGGCAAAGGGCAGCTACAGTGAAAATCAATCAGTGCTGACCGCGGCGCTTTTCATTGTGAAAGGCCACTGTGATGGATTAATAATGTATGTGACGGAAACGTTGTGATCACAGCCCCCACCCCTGACACTGCGGAGGGCGAGCAATAAAGGTGAAAGCCACACAAAGTTTTAATTAAAAATCAGCTACAATTATAATTAAAACTACATTTGCAGCGGCAGCGCGCGGCGACCCGCACATATGTGGGTTAATCCCACGTGGGCTGGAGACGCATGGATGCACGACATTGAAATAGATTAAATTATAACTTCTCCCCCCTCTCTCATCTCTACGCATACGTCTGGTACATATAGCCTACATTACACACACATGGGCTGCGTGTTCTATCTCAGTGAAGAAGTTCAGCCTCCTAATCAGATGACAGGCTTCGTAATCACAGTGTAAAAACCAGTGGCAGCAGAGTCGCTCTCACCCATTCAAGCTATTAGGGTAATCCTAGGAGGTGAATGTGTGAGGAAATTTGACGTTTCCTCAGACGTGATGGCAGCTACTAAAGACTTTTTAACACATCTTCTGCCACCCTGAGAGGAGGAGAGCGTGAATTTATTTTTCTCCGAGTCAAACGCCAAAGTCGCTGCAGATCAGGAGCCCAATAAATCCATTCACTTATTTGTTTGGATTTACTTAAAAGATGAGACCAGATGGGTGAGGTTATGCTAATGAGGGTGAGTGAAATATGATTTCCTTCTCCCCATCTATACCTTGGACTTGACTGGTGCGCTTCTGATTTTAATTAGATTGGATTTACATAATATTTCCCCATTAACTGGGTCTCTGTTGGCGCCAAATGGTTCCTTTATCCCCACCTACACACAGAGGAGACGGCGGAAGCTGAGCAGACTTGAAGCTGGCCTGAAAACACAGCCTGATGGATGTTCTCCATGCTTGATGGAACAACAGCGCTCAAATATTTACTGAAAAAAAGCAACAAAAAAAAAAAAAATGCGCTCGATCACCGTAAACGCGTTGCTGTGTTCGGTGAGGAGAGGAAATGACTAAAAACATCTGTGCAGCATTTCACTGGGGATCTGTCTCTCCCTCTCTCTCTCTCTCCCCCATTTCTAGTATTTGAATGCTGAAGTTAAAAATGAAAAAAAAAAAAAAAGGCTTTTTTTTTTCTTCCCCACTTGCCCTCAATTCAGCTGAATGATTATATGGGCCAGTATAGAGGCTCTCAGTGTGACGGATGCTCGCTATAATTCTTTCAGTGCTTTGGGATCATGAGAGTTGATTTGCATATGTATGATCAGGCTGCACAATAAGTAATCTTGCCAGCACATGCATGGATTCACTGCACACTGGTGACTTAAGCCCTCCAACCCAATTTCACATACTCCTTACAAATTTAGGTGCTCTTTCTCTCTTTAGGATTACCATTACTCAGCACGGTGATTGATAGAGCTTAAAAGGGAATTTCTTGGCACGCCATATCATTCATATGGATATGGAGTCAAAACGCACACTCGTGTGCAGCCAAGCTTTTATTCTGCCATCGAAGCAAAAAAACACTGCACCTGCTGCACTACTGGCCCTGGCCACCAGGAGGTAGAGGTCCTCTGCTCTGGAGGGAGAAGCGATTTCCATGATTTCAAAAAGAACAGGCTTGTAAACAGGCCACAGACGGCTGGCGGAGATGATAATGTAAATGGGG